AAATCTTCACCACCAGATGCCAGCTTGTCTTTGAATGCCTTTGTCATGTTCCCAATCTCCACTTCTTGTAGCTTCTTCAAGAATCTCGTTCCTTCAGGAACAGACTTCAATTTCTTACAACACTTCAACTCCAAAGAAACAAGACACATCATGGCACTGTCTTCTACAGTCCATTCTTCTAGATTCTCAAGCTGTGACAATGTCAAAGATTGCAGCTGAGGGAAACCATTTATGGAGCAATGAAGTTTACTACCAACAAAAGACCCTTCAAACAGCTGAAGAATCTTCAAGTTTGGAAGCTTCTCAAGAACCAAAAATGGGTCATCCACTAAACCGCATTGCCACAAACGCAAGGCACCGAGATCAGAGGAGAAACTCTGTTCCTCAGGGAGCTTCTCTAGTTTAAGGAACAGTTCCAGCTCAGAGAGATTTGCAAAAGCAGAAACCAACTGTGTTATATCAACTGGTGGAGGCATAGGTTCGCAGTACACGTTTAATGTCAAGCCACGTAGACGTTTCAAAACTCTACTTAAAGAAGATACTATCTCAAAGTCTGTGTTCTGAGAAGAAAGATTGATAGCTAATCTTCTGAGACTCGTCATTGCCAGAAGATCCCTTGGATTGCATTGGCCAACGGGGAAGTCCCAGAGCTGTTGCAGGTTTGTTAGAGTACTCAAGTTCAGCTTCGTTCTTGGATCAAGTTCTGAAGGCATGCAAAAGTGTCTCAGCCTCCGTAGCTTCCCTATTACATTTGGAATATGTAGTTTCCCTTTCACAAACAAGTCTAGAGTAATCATCAACGTTAAGTTTCCAATACATGATGTTAGTTCCTTCACATTTGTCAATCTCAAACTAAAGTTTCTCAAATGGATGAGATCTCCTACGTCATCGGGCAACTTCCCTCCTTTGATTTGAGCTCCCTCAAGATCTAAAACTCTAAGGAGTTTCATCTTTCTGAGGGAGATCTTACCAAGAAGTTCCCATTGACTTCCTTGATTTTTCATGAGATACACAAGAGATCTACACTTAGGATTTATATAAAGTCTCTCGAGCCTGTGTTCCTCCGAACCAACATGCAACTGTACAGAGATTCTGCGAGATGTACTGGTCAAAATAGATGGGAAAGCTTCATCTTCATCTTGTTGCCTTGAATCAACAACTTGCACAAAGCTTTCTTGTTCTGCCTTCTGTATACACACCTCCCTCATTAGATCATGCATACGACATGTCATAACTTCCGAGGTTACAATGTCTCTTTTACCAACCATCACAATGCTTCTCTTCACTAACTCTTCAAGATAAACTTTCCCCATATCCTCTACTGTTGTCCCAGCTTCCGAGGTTTTTGCAGGCATAACCATTCCCTCTGCGATCCAGTAACTAACCAATGTCCCCACATGAACCTCAAAATCTTCAGGGTAGTGAGCAAAGTATAGGAAACACTGCTTTAAATGAGGAGGCAAGTCCTCATAGCTCAAAGACAAAACATCTGCAACCATCATACTCCTACTTCCATTGCAACTACCTCCATTTGAAACATATGATTTGATGTTCTCTTGCACTCTTTGCCATTGGTTCAATGTATTTTTCATCGCCAAAAGTCCTCCTAGAACTGTTATAGCCAGAGGTAAACCTCCACACCTTATGGCCATCTGCTTCCCAATCTCCTCCAGTTTCTTGACCAACATTGGCTCTAAAACAATGGTAAATACAAGTCTGAATATTGTAAAATATGGTAAACTCGAATGCTAAAATAGAATTAGATTCTTTTACCTAAATTATCTCGTCCCTGTAATGAAATTTTCTCTAACAGCTCCCAACTCTCTTCATGTGTTAGCAATCTCGGCTCATGGAGTACACCTCTCGGATCAGCATACAAAGCAACCTCTTTGTTCCTTGTGGTGAGTAATATGTTGCTTCCTGCAGTGTTGTGAACAAGATTTTTACTTCATGATACTGTGAATAACAAGAAAAAATAGAGCAATGAGTCGCATTTTATCACTAGCAAGTTACCTGTTTCATTTGGAAAGACGTGTTTGAGACCATCCCAAGCATCAGGGCCCCATATATCATCAAGCACAATGAGGCATTTATTCCTTTTCAAGAACCAATGCAACTCCTCTCCAAGCTGTTCATCTCTCAAGCCAAGTATTCTATGATTCTCATCTTTATAGCTGAGACTTAAAAGAATCTCTTGCCAAACATGCCTCCGTCTAAATTCTTGAGAAACATATACCCATGCAAACCTAGCGAAGTGACGCCTCACTGTACTGTGATGGAAGACCTGTTTGGCTAGAGTTGTTTTCCCCAAACCACCCATTCCGCAAAAGGACATGACCCTTAAATTCTCACCGCCGGAAACTAAATCATTCACTAACTTCTCAAGACTTTGCTCTAAACCAACAAGATTGTGCTCAACAGCATACGGAAAGGACTGCCTCTGCTCTCTTAAACTATTAAACAAACTCAAACTTTCTCCTTCCATAGCTTCTTTTATACCATAGTCTCGCATGCTTGCTGCTATCTTGGTAAGCCTGGAAGTGATTTCTTTAATCTCTGAGCCAACATTATGAAGTGAAACGGCCTCAGTCATGATGCAAGCAAGCCTCCTGAACACCTTTTTGATCCCTTTTCCTTTCTTTGATTCTGCCTTGAGGAAAAATGCTTCTAGGACATCCTCTGCATCATAAGCAGCTTCTCTAATGTCTGCAATCCAATTCCGCACTCTCTCGCTTTTACGCTGCTTCTCATCTGCATCTTTCAAGAAGCACCTCAAACGCTTGAGTTCGTCTTGCAGCTGCTTCACCTGGCCACCTATACCAAACAAGAACAACGGTTCTTCAAGGAGCCACTCCCCTAGCTTCTGCACTGTAACAGAAACAATAGCTTCTGCCATTTTCCTGTTCTTGATTCACAACTGTGGATCTCCCAGTCTCTACCTCCAACACTATGAGTCAACAATGAACTATTATGGCACAATATTCCAGATCAATTCAATCATAACACTATTTGTCCCTTTCTGTTTTTCAACTCTTAGCATCATGTGAACATAATTCTATGGTACAGCTACGAAACCACTTGTTGAAAGGTTCTTTTGTGTTGGCCCATGAACCACCACATCCACATATACATCCATCACTTTGGTGGAGGACTTTCACAAGTCTTCATGTCTCCTACAACCATACATTTCATTTTCCTTCTCACCTTTAATTGCAGATGCTACAATAAGAAAACTGGAGTTCTCTCCCTCGTGATTAAACATACCAGCTTACTTAGAATAATTTAAGAAGCTTACTCAGAGTAATTTAATAAGCTTACTCAGAGTAATTTAAGAAGCTTACTCAGAGTAACTTAAGAAGCTTACTCAGAAAAAAAGAAACAAATAAAATTCATGAATACCAATTCAAAATAAAGAGGCAAGACCAGAGAATGTATAGAGAATCTTTTTTTTTTTTGTAAAACCATGAATTGTGGCTGATATGCAAAACACCAGATTTTCGTTTTCTTAATTTGCTAACAGAAATTAGAGAGATAACACTTAATAGATATCTCTTTATCATCGTTGTCTTTTCAACTGTGTGAAACAAGAACGTGTAATAACTGATGAGTATGAACAATATAATATGCCTCTTTGTTTTTGTTTTCCTTATCCAAAAGGTTAGAGAAAACCAGCAGATATACAAAAACGTTCTTACATTTGAGCCTAAGAACTATTGTAGAGCTTGCATTTGTTTGTTCCAGCACAAACGAGACATTCGTCTGCATCACCTTCAACATGACTCAGGCAATGTTGGATTCTATCGTTCACAACGTCCTGCAGAAAGAAACATAAGCAGATTACTTAAAAGTTAAGTAGCCAAAAGAGAACATAGCAGATTTTAGAGGTTCAAAGGGAATAAACGGCATGCACAAATGCATCAGGGTGCTCACACCCCTCAGGCTTGAGTACTCACTTGTTTTAAGTAGCAAGATTGGTAAAAGAACATGTTTAATTACTTACAATGAGGAGATTATGGAGGCCGAGAGGTGCAGTAATGAGGTATGAAATGTCAGAGAACTCCTTTGCAGCATCAGCCGTCAAAGCAGGAATGTCCTTTAATCAAAAAAGGGCCATAATTCCACAAGGTCATTAGTGTATATTCCTCCAAAAATTCCCCAGTAAGTAGACCTACTAAAAGCTTAAAAAACATACAAAATGGATGCAAAAAGTCCATACCTGATGCCAATGTCTTCCAGGAAAGAGAAAAAATGGGCTAACAACTACACGTTTTGCTCCTTGTTGTACACACAAACTGAATGCACTTTTTATAGATGGCTCAGCCAATTCCTAGCGTAAAGTGAACATCAGAATACAGAGAGTAGAACCAAAATGAATGTCCAAGTTATCCATTCAAGCATATTAAGCTAAGTCTAAATCATAACCAGAAAACTACAAAAAAAGAGATCAGTCTGTAGCAAATTTATAAGAATGGAACTGTAGAGGTTCAAACAAGTGAATTCAACCAGGTAAGCTATCAGAAATGGTTTGAATTTAACTGAAAATTCTCAGGGCATACTGCATACTAAAGGAACATGAGATGATAGCCAACAGTATGAAGAAAAGTGGTAACAAAGAAAAAAACAATACCATATGAGCAGGCTCAACAATAGGGTATCCAGTGTTGTCTTTGAACATCTTCACAAACTCCTCTGAAACTCAGACAATATACATATGTAATGAGCACAATTAACAATCAGCCAAAGATGATTAAGAAGAGAAGTCTTACCAAGCATGAGATTAGATTCCCGGCGACGAGAACCGTGATCGACAATTATAATCCCATCAGCATCACTTATCCCACTTCTGAGCAACCCACCATTCTCCGAGCTCGCCAAACATGGCAATCCTCTTCTGCTTACTCGTTGGGATTGAAATTTCTCAACTTTCAAGGAACATGGCAAAGCCCATGACCGATTCGTCCGAGTAAGCTCACAAGAAGAAGGTGAAACACGAGCATCCGCTGCTCTGAGATTGCTACAAAAGGAAATTGAGAGGAGAAAACTTGAGGATAAAACAAAAGAAAAGACAAGAAAAGGACATAAGGGTAATAATATAGAAACCGTTGGGAGGAGATTCCGTGAGACAGGTTCATCAAGAAGTGAGAATGAGTCGCTGCCATTGAGCTCCGCTAAACTCGTCGGGACTGACTCGATTATCACTTTTATTGTTCGAATCCTCGACAAAACTGTAAGTAAATAAAGAGTTAATTACACTATTAGACACTTTTTCATCTTTCGTTACACAAAAACACTTATTGTTTAAGATGTACATTTCCTATTCCCGAAGCTCATTTCAGTTAATTTTGCCCCTGGGACATAATATGTCTTTTCTTTTCACCTCAAGATTGAGACATTTTTTGATATGAGACGAAACTATCCTTATTTTGTTTTAAGAAAATAACTAAAGTGCAATTTAGTTATTTCATTTAGTTAGCGTCTGCATTTAATGCAACATTGATTCAGATTTGAGATTGATGTGTTGATTTGTGTGATTTAATTTTGGCTATTAGATTAGTTTATAGAAAAGAAGATCTAGTGGATGAGAGAAGATATAGATGATGAAGATTAATAAAAGTAGTGGAGTATAATAAATTTTGACAGAAACCTTGGAAAGTTGGCGTCAAAAATTCTCCATAATTTTATAGAAGGCAGCTTTAGTGTGCGTTTCTATGGAGAGTGAATGTTAATAGTGTCCATGGAGATTGAACCTCTGTTTATACTCTCCACACAAAAGCTATGTTTTCTTATTATCTCTTGATTTTTAATATGCGATGTTGTGAGTACTTTGTTTCTCCCATCCTCTGTGTATACTGTCCACGATACATTCATCCATGAAATATCCACATACATATTATGAGACATCATCTATGACACACTATCAACGAAAAATTCATCCAGTATACATTCATCCATAAACCACTGTCCATAAATCACTTATCCATGAGTTTTATAGATGAGAGAAAAGTTTTCAAAGATCCTTGAATCAGTACACATGCTCTCATACATTATTCGCAAGATCATAAAGTTCAAGACATTGCATACTTGAGCTTCCACTTGATTGTATAAATACCTGAAACATAATCAGCCAATTGCATGGCTTCTTTGTAAAAACGTTAACACAATTCTCTTGTCCACAATTATCTCGTCCACTTTTCTCTCATCCACAACTTTGACACGTCCACTGTTATTCTATCCATTTCTCTTTTGTTCACACCTTTTTCTGTAACATCAAATCCAAAATAAAAAATGGTGAATCGAAATTAGAAGAGAATTATTTTGTTGGAAATCTATGTATATTTCAACATAGATTCTTAGAGATAATCTATTTATAAGTTTTAAATTTCAAATCATGATACAAGAAACAAAGAATATGAAAACAAAAAGAAATCTAAAAAATTTAAAAGAGATGAAAGACAACAGTTTGGAATACTTTGCAAAAACCAGTACAAGAAATCAAGAAGGGAAATTTGCAGCAATAAATTGAACAAATTAATAGAAACTTGGAACAAAAAATTGAACCTTAATGCTGAAGATTGTTGGTGAAACTAAACAGATGGGTCTCTAAAACAGCAAGTTAAATGGAGGAGATAGCAAAACTGGTCTCAGAAACATCAAGTTAGATGGAGGAGATGGATGAATCTCGGAAACGGCGGATTTGTTTGCGATGAAGGTTTGTCGGAGATTGTGAAAGAATTGCTCTAAATTAAAAGCATAATTAGGGTAATGGAGAAATTGGGGGGTTTCAGTTAAAGATGAAAAAATATATATGTTCTATTCATTTACTTTTAAAAGATAATGAAACACGATCTTTCTAATGAAACACACACTTACTCTTTAGTTTCATAGTTTTAGGGTTAAATAGGTCAAATAAATTTGGGAAAGTGCCCTCTCAACCTAATGTGTCTTAATGGGTAATTGATAACTCAAAATGTGTCTTCTAGAGTAAATATTTCAATATCAGTGCATGTTATGGACAATTATGTCCTTGGCTAAAGTTGAGTTTTTGTTAGAAAAAAATAAATTTGGTTACTTGAACTAGTTTTAGTTTAGTTGGCCTATTAAATATCGTTATGTTTATAGATCATTTGAATTAAATTTATTCACATAATTTGAAAAACAATTTTAGATCTAATAGTTGTTATACTTATGTACTTTATAGGTTTGGAGAAAATAAGACAAGATTCAAAAGTGTGTTGAGTATTCTTTTTAAATCAAACGGGAATTTTTTTGGTTAAATGTAATAACTGACTTTTTTAATTTTGTTGAATTTCCTAACTAATCTTTTTCCATAAAAAGTATTTCGCGAGTGGTTGTGGACACAGAGATAAACTAATTGAATTTTTTTTTGATAATTATACACTAGCCTCTAAATTTTTTTTACTTCTAACAAAACTCGGTTAAGAATACAAAAGAGATTTAGTACATACATTACCAAAGAGAGCATGATGTAAGAGAATCCCCACCCTTACGTCTACCTCAACCATAACCAACACCACCTCTTCTCTCGAGTAGCCACATCCACCACCACTATATCCACTCACGTCTTCAGCCTCTATATCTGCCACCTTCTTATCGTCATCCACAACTCTTCCAACCACATCAACAATATCCACGTACACTTTGACCACGAGAGCCACTGTCACCTTCATTAATCACCACCTCTACTATCTCCTCTCCCTCTATTACCACTTTTGTATCCACCACCGAGAACTCCAACGACAACTCTTCAAGTCACATAAACAATATCAACACAACCACTGACCACGAGATCCTCATCCACAATTCTTCCGACCATGTCAACAATATCCACACACACATTGAACATGAGATCCACCATCACCTCCATAACTACCACATCTCCACCACCGCCACCTCCATAACCACCTTCGTATCCACTATGGTATCGACTGCCATCTCTACTACGGTTTCCGCCACCGTTTCCATGGATCTAAGCGATGCCGTTCATAGCTATCACCGCTTTCATAACCACCACAGCTTCCATGGACGGTAGAGAACACTGATAGATGTGTGCTAGAGAATAGAGATGGAGAAGATGTCGGAAGGGAGAAAGGGGGTTAAGAAGAATTTCAGATCGAGATATTAGGGTTTGTTTTCAGAGTTTGATTTCTAGAACAAAAAAAATCGTCGAGAGAGAAAGGAGAACGATTAGGCTTATCTCTCTGAATTTAGAAATTTGAAGAGATAAGATTGTTTGTTTTAAAAAAAATAAATAAATGGGATTTACTCTTTCATATATTGGGAGATGAATATGTGTAGAGTTTGTAGATTTTAAAAGTTGATAGATTTATAAAGCCATGTGGATTATGAAAATATACATATATGTTGATTTGTAAAATTTGGTAATACTTTTCTAGATTGCAAAAGATTTTCAAAAATTAGTATTTCATTTTTCTATATTTTCTTTCATAAAATAAATATATGATTTAGATTTTAGAAATGATCTAATATAGTCATTTTAAAAGTTTTTATCACAAAAAAATGTTGAAAGTAGAAAATGACCAAAAGAGATTTTTTAGAAGGGTAAATATACTTTTATACCCTTAATGTTAACTAATCATAATTTTTTTTGTTTAGAGTTAAGGGATATTGTTTTAGGGGTGGGATTTAAAATATTCAAAAATAGAAAATAAACAAAAAATTTGAAAAAATTATAAAAAAGTTTGAATCTGAAAACATATAAAAACATAAAAAAATATTTTTTTCTCTTTTTATTTTTATTTTTATTTTTTATAATTATATATTTATTATTTATGTTTATAAAACAAAGAGTATAAAAATATTTAATAAAACCTCTTTTGGTCACTTTTATATATTATTGTAGTTTTTATTTTTAAACAAAATAAAAATATAATTATACATTAAAAGATAAGTAAATAAAAATGTAATGAGTTATAATTTGAGACATATTTGATTAAAGGTGAAATATATATTTGGTAGGAAGAATTATTTTATTTTCTATATGTTTTAATCACATGGATTTTGAGAATCTCATGGATACGTATGATATTTTGAAAGTTGTGTCTTATGTGTTAAAAGAGAGAGAATTCATCTCCCAATAACACTTGATTTAGTTAGAATTAGAGAATCAATAATGACTAGACTTTTTGAATAACAAGGTATTTGAATAGATTTTAAAAATTCTTAAACCACCAATAGTGGATTTACTAAGAGTTTTAAAATCCATGAACCAATAATAAAGTAATTTCAAAATTTTCAAAGTTGATGAGAATTCATCTCTCGATAACCCTTCCTTAGACAGGCTAATGAAGGAAATAATTAAAAAAACTATCTCATTGTCTTAGTTGAATGTTATCTTAGTCAATTTGCTATCATAAAATGTCTTATATTTACAATGTGTCTGTAAGAGATATTGATAGAGAAAATTACCCTTGAAGACATATTTTCAATTTTTAATAACACAAAAGAACACATCCAGCTTTTGACATACATTTGTTATATTCATCGTCTTTTTTGTCCTTCCAACATGTTTATCTCTTTCTTTACTCAATCTCTCATAAAAAATAACTTTCTTAATTTTTCATGAACCAAAAATCATAATCTCACATGTTATTCTCTCTGCTAATAAAAATTCCTTAAATCTTCACAAACCACAAACCTTAATCATAGTTCTGTCTTCTTCTCAGATTTTTATATGTTGGTTACTACTACCTCTCAAAATCCACAAATCTTAAGATGTGTTCCACCGTCCCTCTCTATCCACAAATTGGATTTTCTCCATTTATTTTTATTCCTCCTCTGTATCTTCAAGTTTCATCAATGGCAGAATCTCCATTGTTCGGTGCGGCGAAATTTGATTCAGAAGAGCCCACAACTCAATTGTATCTCCTCTGCTCTTCTCCAAGATCCAAACCAGAACACCTCTCTCTTATTGTCTGCAATCAAATATCATAGAGGGAATCTCCCTTGTTCCTCCTCTGTATCTTTAAGTTTAATTATGTATTTTATGGTAGGTAGACCGTGAATCCTTTGTGGTAAGTATATCGTGAATTTTTTCTTTCGTACTTGATGAATGGATCCATAACTATGGATACTTATTGTTCATGAAACAATTATTCTTCCAAAATTGTTTTTTTGCACATGGTTTTTCTCTAATAATGCTTTCAATTA